GCTGACGTCATCGAAAAAGTCATTGCCATCTTCTCCGAATCGTCTCCTCTTCTGACCCGACACACCCTTTTTTTTTTTTGAGACACAACCCTTTAATGGTGTCCCTTATCAACCTATATATATATCTATGTTTCATGTTTACTACACCTCATTCATATGTCGGTACATCTTTTCCAGCGCATATTTCTTTTTCTTTTTTTCTTAGTCTTCGTTAAGGTATGTTTTGTTGGTAATCTTTATTATTGAAGTATAGTTTAGTTGTGTTTAATCCAACGATCAAAAATATAGTTTTTTTTAGAAAGTGACATCATCATTTATTGAAGGAAAGAAGATCTATTGTCCTCTGAACCATTGCGTTTCTTCAAATAAACAAACATATCTTTTGAGTAGCAAATGATCTACTACTTCAAAACGTATCTATTGAATCTTTTAAAATAGAAACTTGTACCTTTTCAGAATCATATATATTAAACCTTTTCAAAAAAGAAAATTATAACAACTTGATTTCTTTATCTCTGCTTAATGGAAAGGTTTTGGACCTCTCTGAATTTTGTTTCCATCACGATCCTCTACAATCAATTCTCGATTTGTGTTCCTGTTTGTTTTTGTAAGAAAACTTTGAAGTGTGGCGGAGATTCTCATAGGCTGTAGGTTAGTTACGTTTTCGTAAAAACCGCGTGCTTGAGTTGCAGCGGAGGAGGTGTTGAAGAGCTTTCTTGATATTCAAAGTATTTAGTTTAGATAGTTTTTTTAGAGTATTGTATATGTAGATTCTAAATCTTTAATAAACTGGGGAAATTGATTTTAGAGAATCGATTGGAACACAGCGCTTTTGTGCATANACCGCGTGCTTGAGTTGCAGCGGAGGAGGTGTTGAAGAGCTTTCTTGATATTCAAAGTATTTAGTTTAGATAGTTTTTTTAGAGTATTGTATATGTAGATTCTAAATCTTTAATAAACTGGGGAAATTGATTTTAGAGAATCGATTGGAACACAGCGCTTTTGTGCATATTGCAGGAATCACAACAATTGGAGACTAATCTACTCCTACATCAATATCTTGAAAACAACGCTGTAGGTTATCACTCATTTTAGAAACAGAGAATTAGTTAAAGAAAGATGAGTGAGGGTTCTTTTCAGAAGAAAAAAAAAAGAGTGAGGGAATTAAAGTATTTATATGACTAGACCGTGAGACAAAACAATATAGCCATTAAATATTAATTGTAAGAAGCATTAAAACATTAAAAATCATTAATTAATTAATTTGTGGACACAAATTCAATAGGAGAAATATATAATAAAAAGAAATATATAGATATGTGATGATAACCGCTTGAGAATATAAATTATTGTATTTGAAACAAAATAAATATACACTTAAATATATAAGTAACCTTAAAAATATATACTGATTAAATTAGATATATATATATATATATATATATATATATATATATATATATATATAAACTATGCATCTGTGGTCGGGTGGTCAAGGCGTTCCGTGGATCTTATAAGAGACCCGAATTCGAAACCGCACCACACCAGATTTCCACAGATATGTGGCCATCGGGACTTTCACATTCTCTCTCCAAGGAATGGTTTCCATTTCTTTTATATATATATATATATATATAAAGTTGAAAATAATACCAACACGGCTTTGCGGGTTCGGATCTAGGTAATATGTTTGAGATAGCTAAATTATGTTTTCTTAAATAACTGAAATATATTTGTTTAATATTTACATTTTTTTCATTGCAAAACAATTGTTAAAATGACAAAATATTAAATTTTATTGCTGAAAATTTTGTTTGAGGTAGCTAAAATATGTTTTATTATAAATCTAACATATTATTCTTAAAATATCACAATATTCATAATTATAAAAAAAAAACTATATAAATTTTGTTTGACAGGAAAAATAATTTACATTTGAAGGTAAATTTATTGAAATTAGTTCAAAAAACAGATGAAATTACATATCTTGTAATCGTTGTGCAAAAATACTTTCAAGATATATGTGTAACTTATTAGAAAAAAGGCACAAACATGAGTAATGTTGGCATCTTAAGGTAACTAAAAATATTAAAAATTATTAAAAGTTGCATAATAAACTGATTAGTAATACACTGGCATTTTATAATAGGTATAAAATTGAGATTATTGTAGAAGATGATAAGATAGTACATTATTAACTACACTAGCTGCATAACCCCCGCGCAAGCGCGGGGCCGGGATCTGTGTTTTTTTCGGTTGTTGGTTTAGTGGGTTATTCTAATAATACAAATAATGATGAAATGGAAAGAATGTAGCAAGAGTGCAAAGTGAAAATATTGTATATATAATGTGTTAAATGTTATCTATATGCGAAATAAGTTATAGGAATAACTAAATTATAATATAGTTTTCAGTGTATAAAAATAGATGTCTATATTGTTTTTTTTATGTTGGAAATAATTTTTATATCGAATGTCAAAACTTGATATAAATATTTATTTATAGTATTTATATTTGTACTAAACGATTTATCAATTTGAAAGTAACTTTAATTTAAGCTAATATTTGTTGTTTGGGTTTGAATAGATAGGTTTGGATATGTTTTTTTGTAAGTTTGAATTTTGTTAATGAATAATGTGGTATTTTTCTTTACGGCGTCATCGACTGTGGAAATCCATCCGCCGGAGTCTGGTAAAAATGAAATTATAGTAACTATTAAAAATTGAAGAGAATTTACATACAAAACTATTTATTTTATTTTATTTCACATACATAATTTTTTGAAAATATATATTAGGAAATATGTTCAAACAGTAANATTTTGTTAATGAATAATGTGGTATTTTTCTTTACGGCGTCATCGACTGTGGAAATCCATCCGCCGGAGTCTGGTAAAAATGAAATTATAGTAACTATTAAAAATTGAAGAGAATTTACATACAAAACTATTTATTTTATTTTATTTCACATACATAATTTTTTGAAAATATATATTAGGAAATATGTTCAAACAGTAAAAATATATATTAGGACATGATAGTGCCGCGTGAGACTCATTTTTTTTTCTCTTTTTTGATGTTTGTTTTTTGATCCATTAATTTTTGGGTTTGAGTTCGTCAAACTTTACGATTTTTCCACTATTTTGGGCTTTAAACAATAAGTCCAGAGGAAAAAAAACATTAAAACATTAAAACTAAAAAGCCCATAATCCAAACGAAAAAACTAAAATATATAACAGCTGCGTGGTTTGAACCCACACACTTGCAGACTTAATTAGATGCCTTATACCACTTTGCTAAAGTGTGTTCATTGTTCATAGGCATTTTAAAAACACTCTAAACTTTTAAAATTTAAATACGTGGGGCATATTTGGCTACTGATGTGGATAGCCTTAGTAGCTTCAAAAGTGATCATTATTATATAGTAACTATTAAAAATTGAAGAGAATTTACATAGTTATTTTATAAATAACAAAACTATTTATTTTATTTTATTTCACATACATAATGTTTTGAAAATATATATTAGGAAATATGTTCAAACAGTAAAATATATATTAGGACATGATAGTGCCGCGTGAGACTCATTTTTTTTCTTTTTTTGATGTTTGTTTTTCGATCCATTAATTTTTGGGTTTGAGTTCGTCAAACTTTAGGAGTTTTCCACTATTTTGGGCTTTAAACAATAAGTCCAGAGGAAAAAAAACATTAAAACATTAAAACTAAAAAGCCCATATGATAATAATACAAACGAAAAAACCAAAATATATAACAGTTGCGTGGTTTGAACCCACACACTTGCAGACTTAATTAGATGCTTTATACCACTTTGCTAAAGTGTGTTCATTGTTCATAGGCATTTTAAAAATACTATAAACTTTTAAAATTTAAATACGTGGGGCCCATTTGGCTATTGATGTGGATAGCCTTAGGAGCTTCAAAAGTGAATCATTATTATATAGATTTCAACAAAGACATGACAAGGATTATGGGTAAATCAGCACCAGACTTGAATAAATTTCATTTGAGAGCATTACTAATAATAATTATTAAACTACATTGTATAAATAATGACAAATATGAAAATTACAAATGCAGGAGCAGACATATAATGATTCAAGTGATAATATAATTATCTCTTTCTTATCTGAAAAACTAATTGGAAACGTTTTAAAATTCAAAGTTCAAGTCATTAACTTATAATTATAAATTAAGCAGGATTAATAGTCATTGGAATCACATGCAATCCAATTAATATTGAAAAGGTACAAAGTTTTTGAGTAAATAGTTGTTCTATTCTTTTTGGGTTTCTAATTATAACAACAAAGAAAATAAGTTACTATAAATATATTATATATAAATAATCATTTGTATTTACCAACTTATAATAAATAAAAGTGATGATCCGGCACAAGGAATTAAAATCAATATATCTTGTAAAGAAAATTAAAAAAAGAGTAGGAAAAACAACAAATGATCTAAAACAAAGAGAAGACAACATTCAATATGAAATTAAAAAAAAAGTGAATCTAAGAAATGAAACACTCACAGCGAAAAATGAAGAAAATGATTGAAGATGATCACGTTTCTTAAATTTATAATGCTACACAAAATGATTTATTTTCAGATACATAAAATAATATTTTTAAATATTAAACTACATAATTTTTTACTCTACAAAAATTTATTTTATAAAGTTTTATATTAAAAAATTGAACAGTTAATACAAAATAAATAATTAATGTTTTCTCTTCTCGCGCGTTTACGCGCGGGGTTGTTTCTTAGTAAATTATAATAACCAACCAAAAGGCTCAAGGCGATAAAAAAACTAAACCATAAAAATCAAGTCCTTGAAATATTATCATAAGCAAATCGAAATCATCCAAAATCCAGCATAAATAAAAATATCTCCAACAAAACCAGAAGGAACAAAAGAGTATATTCTCTCAAAACCATAAAGAAAAAAAGAGAACATAAGAGAATCCTCTGGAGAATATTCTCTCACTCGGGAGGAAGGTTGAACAAGGCCTTGATTTTTTGAACAACTGTGCTGATCAGCATATCCACTTCCATCACTGAATTCTCAGACACCATTCTGCCCCCACTGTTTTGACCAGTAGAGAGAAGGATCTGAAAAGCCAACGTGAGTAAAGTTCCACGGTCCATGGTTCCCGGGGCGTCGCTTGAGATGGTGAAGCCAGAAGGTAGAATTGGAATCTCCAAAGGGTCGACTCTCCCGGAGGCAGCGATGCTCATTGCAGCCATGTCGAGAGGAGCGTACACTATCATGCCTCCTAATGCGTCCATGTAACACTCTTGTAGCTCCATCATCGTCTCTGGTCCATCAAGCTAATAATTGGATATAAATACAAGTAAAAATTATTAGATGAGTTATGTATAACAACCAAAGATTAGTTATTAAGAGACAGTTCAGGAACTGTGTATGTACCTTGAGTAGACTGATGTGGTTTGTTGCACTCAATCCGGTCGAAATGCGACCGGTCTCAGTGATTGCGTTTCCATGACAAAGAACGTCCCACTGTTTTGCATGCAAACATGGTTTCTTGTTAATACCATTGGCCCATCATCCTATATAGTTGTCGATAATAATGCAAGCAGGTAAAGAAAATAAATAATTAAACCTGGTGACGAAAGTCGTTGCTTCTCAGCAAGCTGAAGACTTGCGAAGGAGTGCTAGGAATTGGGAGACAATATGCAGCACTGGCAACTGAACCGGTTACTTGACCGACTTCCTCGTTCACCCGCGTCGAGATTCTGACTCCTCCACATCTCGATTTCTGCGGGAACTCAGTATTCCCGGGCATGATCAACATTTCGCTAAAGTTCTTCAACATTCTTTCCCCTAATTTCATCACACTCCTCCTTCCTTCCACTGTTAGTGGAACTGTCAAAACATTATCACAAACATTAGTGAGAATTGTTCCACTTATCACAAATTATCCAACATTGTAATGTTAAGCCACATTTCTTTGATACAAGTGAGACTTTTTACACTATTACAAATTAAAATATTGGTTAATTATGATTAAGAAATATATATTTGATTAGTATAGTTAAGAAAAGATGAATCATACTTTCCCACCGGTCAGTAACCGGAATGGTTGTGGCGGAGGAGAGATTTATTCTCGCACACATTCTCTCAAGGGTAACGATCCAACGCTTAGCTCCATAGCCCGAACCGCCACTTGAACCGCCCTTTACAAGATCTCGATACGCCGGATATGCCGACGGTATATTGCTCACTTCCACATGCTCTATCCACGTTACCTGAAATATTTTAATAACATCAATTAAGCTATATAATGCATACATTTATACCGATTGTAGACATGTCGAGATCAATCAAGGGAATGGAGATACCTTGCTCCGACCATAGGGCAAGGCTCGGATGAGAACACCGGAAGGACGTTTATAACAAGACTGACTGGCTTGGTGATTAGAATAAACGATGCCGTGTGACACATCAGCAATAATCCAGACCCCTTCCTCGATCTTTCGGCAGCATCGAACGATCGTAAACTTCCTTGCTGGCACTAGTGGAGACAACATGTGTAGCTCCTGCTCCCATACCTATCAACATTCAAAAATTCATCAGATATTAGAGTAGAACAGTCCATCTCAAAGCTAAACTTAAATTGAAATCTCTAAACCCAATGCAATGGTATACGTAACTAACTAGATTGATAACGTTTAAAGTTCCAGAGTTAAAATTCTTCTTACCGTCTCGGATCCGAGCGTAGGAATCGTCCTGGCCGTGTTCACGATCGTTGGAAAAAGCGTTTTCCATTTCTCCTACAATAATAAAGTGCATGTCACATTTTTCTATAAGAAAGTCCAGCAGTTATGAAGTTCTTATGATTTAGACAAATATGTTTAATATATAGTTTTTTGGATCAAATATATAATTTTATAAGTCATATTAAACGCAGATATCAAATGCAAATGCAGCAGTTAGTTTCATCCTAATTAATATAGTCCTAATATTTATTTTTGATGCATAATTGAACNCATGTCACATTTTTCTATAAGAAAGTCCAGCAGTTATGAAGTTCTTATGATTTAGACAAATATGTTTAATATATAGTTTTTTGGATCAAATATATAATTTTATAAGTCATATTAAACGCAGATATCAAATGCAAATGCAGCAGTTAGTTTCATCCTAATTAATATAGTCCTAATATTTATTTTTGATGCATAATTGAACGCATACCGGATCTGAGAAGATAGCAATCAAGCTGCTTGCCTTTATAGAAACCACCGTGTCAACTTTAGAAGACTCGACACGAGAGTTCGTGAATTTTTTGACTGAGTGCGATAATTTCCCAGAGCTGCCCTTCTTGAGCACAGATGTTCCTTCTATAGGCGACGGCATAACCCAAAAAGTAGCTTCGTCGGTAAGAAATAGCTTCTTAAGCTCTTCAACCGCACGTGCCGCAGTTGCAGTCAGCTCCGAATTATCCATTTGGGGTAGTAGTTGTGGTTGGATGGTTTGAGATTCTGATGAGCTAGGTCGCTCGAAGGGGTGGTTTGGATTATATCCGTAAGAAGTGAGAGTTTCAAAGGTAATGCTGTCTTCGAACAGAAGTGAATGAGTCCATCATGGCTTATATATATGGAAAAGGTGGTCCAAGCCTGAAAATAAAAGAGAAAATGTAGATATTTACAGAGTGGGTACTATTATATGCTAAATGGTTAATTCTTAATTTTACTTAATTCAAAAGGTAATTCTTAATTCTACTAAGGAAACCTTCAATGATTTGTTGAGGAGGAGCTCAAACTAATTAATGGTTCACTATTTGGTTAAGTATAATATACTAAAAAAATATTTCATAAAAGATATGAACATAAGAAACTTTATTAAAATTCAAAATATTTTCCTGATAAAAATATTCTATATTGAATCAAAAATCAAAGATAATAATTATGTAATTACATTATATATGTTTATGTAATATTAATTTATATAATATGAAATATAAAGGGTTTAATCTACACTCAACCAAGCTTTTAATGTTGTATATGTCTCTTATATTTGAAGGTTTATTTATTAGCTAAATATGATAAGTATTTTTAAATTACAAAAGCTTCTGCTAATCATGAATTTATATTTTGGCCAAATATTTTATAATGTCACTATTTTTAAAAGTTTATTCGTCCAATGTTATCAGGTGTGGAATCATATCTTTTGAGAAATTTTCATACAAGTTTTAGTGATGTTTCTCTAATATGATTACGTGTATAAATATGACTATAAAAAATATTGTATATTTAATAGATGTCTAATATAAATACTAAACCGAGAACATTATTGACCAAAAAAAGAGAACATTCATATTTTATATGTTGACTATATTATGCATATCGTATAGATGTAATGATAACAGCAAAGAGGGCTGAGAATATCGTAGGCATAATATTAGTTATAGAGAATGTCAACTTACGTCTGGAGCATGTATTAATTTGATTTGATTTAGGTTTGTAAGATAATTAATAAATCCTTTAGCAAAAATAAAAATATAATCAATAAATCCTTGAATTGTCCAATGTGAATACATATTTTGAGATATAAGCATTTATAGGGACGTTAGGTTTAGTTAATGGCGTTTAGTAGTTTTGGGAAATATTGGTTCTTAATTAATTAGGAAAAGCGTGTACATATATTTCAAATGTTTTCCAAATTTTTTTAATTAAATTTAATGCTGCTGTGAATATTAAAGAATATCAAAAAGAACCTCAAAAATGATTTTTTATTTTAAAATATAGATTGGGATTAGTCAAAATCAATCCACATTATTCAAATATTCACATCGAATATTTAATCAGTTTCTTATTATGAAATTCAAGCTTATTAGATTTTCCCATATTCAAAGATTACACATCTTGACCAACAGATATATTCTTGAAATGGATTAATCAAAAGTATATTTGGGACCATCATATTAAACTTGTTTCCATTCTAAAGTTCATTTCCGTCCAAACTAATAGGTTTACTTTTTATTAATTAGCCAATATCAAATTCCATTTTTGACAGGTGGTTGAACCTTAATGGACCATACTTATATATATTTAGAAAGTTTTCTAAAAATCATTTGATTTATGTCTAACTATAATTGGTCAATGGATACCATCAAGACAAATATTTTGTTGATAAAATTGTATATAATAAAAAAGTATTAATTTGTATGTTGGTATTTTTTCAAATTATATATACAGTGTATATAGATTTTTATTCATGATTTGTATTAATTTTTTGTTTTAAATAGGCTGAAAAGTATTTTTATACACATTATATTCATATTTTAAATTTCCTTTTGTAGTTTTAAAAATAAATATGCGGATTTTATTATAGTCATTAATTAACTTACAGTATAGGTCAATATATATATATATATATATATATATATATATATATATAATTAATGTTAGATTTTATGATCATGCAATATTTTCAAAATAAAAACTAGCCTTAAGTTTGCTATGCATTTTCAACTCAAGAGTTAATACTCTAGTGTAACATTTTCAGCTCAAGATCTAAAATCAGTAGTTCTTTTAATTTAACTCATGGGAGATGAATCTAAACTTGTATAATAATGACTTATCAAATGCTTCAAATAATTAATGAAATTTATTGAGAGTTTTCAAACAAAAAGGAGATCATATAAATCTAAACCTTGAGACTAGGTTAACATATGTATTTTACAAAAAAAAAATATTAATATGTGTAAGTGAGAGAAACTGCTCCCACCATTATTAGGATTCTTATGAAAAATAAAAGGGATACTGTTATATCCTGTTCTTTTAAATAAAAATGTAGGTTCAATAAAACAAATTAGAAAAATGCCTTTAATGAAGGATAAAACTTAGTTTGAAAATATAGTGGCAAAATAAGTAATATTTATATAAATTTTCATACATTTTTTAGTGATGTTTCTCTAATATGATTAGGTTGTATAAATATGACTATAACAAAAATTGTATATTTAATAGATGTCTAATATAAATACTAAACCGAGAACATTATTGACCAAAAAAAGAGAGAACATTCATATTTTATATATTGACTATATTATGCATATCGTATAGATGTACATTAATGATAACAGCAACGAGGGCTGAGAATATCATAGGCATAATATTAGTTATAGAGAATGTCAACTTACGTTTGGAGCATGTATTAATTTGATATGATATTTGGTTTTTAAGATAATTATAAATCCTTTAGCAAAAATAAAAATATAATCAATAAATCCTTGAATTGTCCAATGTGAATATATATTTTGAGATATAAGCATTTATAGGGACGTTAGGTTTAGTTAATGGCATTTAGTAGTTTTAGGAAATATTGGTTCTTAATTAATTAGGAAAAACGTGTACATATATTTCAAATGTTTTCCAAATTTTTTTAATTAAATTTAATGCTGCTGTGAATATTAAAGAATATCAAAAAGAACCTCAAAAATGATTTTTTATTTTAAAATATAGATTGGAATTAGTCAAAATCAATCCACATTATTCAAATATTCACATCGAATATTTAATCAGTTTCTTATTATGAAATTCAAGCTTATTAGTTATTAGATTTTCCCATATTCAAAGATTACACATCTTGACCAACAGATATATTCTTGGAATGGATTAATCAAAAGTATATTTGGGACCATCATATTAAACTTGTTTCCATTCTAAAGTTCATTTCTGTCCAAACTAATAGGTTTACTTTTTATTAATTAGCCAATATCAAATTCCATTTTTGACAGGTGGTTGAACCTTAATGGACCATACTTATATATATTTAGAAAGTTTTCTAAAAATCATCTGATTTATGTCTAACTATAATTGGTCAATGGATACCATCAAGACAAATATTTTGTTGATAAAATTGTATATAATAAAAAAGTATTAATTTTGTATGTTGGTATTTTTTCAAATTATATATACAGTGTATATAGATTTTTATTCATGATTTGTATTAATTTTTGTTTTAAATAGGCTGAAAAGTATTTTTATACACATTATATTCATAGTTTAAATTTCCTTTTGTAGTTTTAAAAAGAAATATGCGGATTTTATTATAGTCATTAATTAACTTACAGTATAGGTCAATATATATATACAATTAATGTTAGATTTTATGATCATGCAATATTTTCAAAATAAAAACTAGCCTTAAGTTTGCTCTGCATTTTCAACTCAAGAGTTAATACTCTAGTGTAACATTTTCAGCTCAAGATCTAAAATCAGTAGTTCTTTTAATTTAACTCATGGGAGATGAATCTAAACTTGTATAATAATGACTTATCAAATGCTTCAAATAATTAATGAAATTTATCGAGAGTTTTCAAACAAAAAGGAGATCATATAAATCTAAACCTTGAGACTAGGTTAACATATGTATTTTACAAAAAAAAAATATTAATATGTGTAAGTGAGAGAAACTGCTCCCACCATTATTAGGATTCTTATGAAAAATAAAAGGGATACTGTTATATCCTGTTCTTTTAAATAAAAATGTAGGTTCAATAAAACAAATTAGAAAAATGCCTTTAATGAAGGGTAAAACTTAGTTTGAAAATATAGTGGCAAAATAAGTAATATTTTTATAAATTTTCATACATTTTTTAGTGATGTTTCTCTAATATGATTAGGTTGTATAAATATGACTATAACAAAAATTGTATATTTAATAGATGTCTAATATAAATACTAAACCGAGAACATTATTGACCAAAAAAAAGAGAACATTCATATTTTATATATTGACTATATTATGCATATCGTATAGATGTACATTAATGATAACAGCAACGAGGGCTGAGAATATCATAGGCATAATATTAGTTATAGAGAATGTCAACTTACGTTTAGAGCATGTATTAATTTGATTTGATATTAGGTTTTTAAGATAATTAATAAATCCTTTAGCAAAAATAAAAATATAATCAATAAATCCTTGAATTGTCCAATGTGAATATGTATTTTGAGATATAAGCATTTATAGGGACGTTAGGTTTAGTTAATGGCGTTTAGTAGTTTTAGGAGATATTGATTCTTAATTAATTAGGAAAATCGTGTATATATATTTCAATTTTTTAATTAAATTTAAATATAGTGGCATTTCCGTCCAAAATAACCTTCCAATATTTACCTTTTCTTATTTAGCCAATAACAAATTCCATTTGTAGCCGGTAGGTGAACCTTGCTGAACCATAAACTTCTATATGTGTAGTAAATTCTCTAGAAAACTGTTTGATGTATGTCTAACCAAAATCAGTCATAGATACCCATCACGAATAATATTTTTGTTGATAAAACTATATATAAGAAAAAATATTAATTTTGTATGTTAATTTTGTTTTTCAAATTATATATACTGTTTATATAAATTTGTATTTATGATTTATATTAATTGTTCTTTTTTAAGTAGGCTGAAAGATATTTTTATACACACTATATTTATAAAAATATTTAAATAATTAATTATAAGTGTTGCGGATATTATTGTAGTCATTAATTAAATTACAATATAGGTTATGATCTATACTTCCTCCGTTTTACTTTATTTGTCATTTTAAGTTTCTACACATATATTAAGGAAACATTTGATTTTACATATTTTCAAAATAAAATAACAATTACATATACACCTAATAACTTTTCAACCAATAGAAAAATATAATATCATATAAATTTAATAAATTTTTTTTTTAGAATGATAACTAATTCGAAACAGAGTAATTATTTTTAGTTAATTAATGTTAGTTTTAGTGATTTGCAACATTTTCAAAGCAAGACGTGGCAGATGGTGTTACGTTTGCTCTGCATTTTCAATTCTTGAGTTAATATTCTAGCGCAACATTTTCAGCTCAAGATCTAAACTCAGTGCTATTTCTTTTCATTTAAGTCATGGGAGGTGAATCTAAACCTGTATAATAATGACCTATATAATGCTTCAAATCATTTCTGAAATTGTTATCGAGAGTTTTTACACAAAACAAAAAAAGATGCATCTTTTTTTAGCAAACAAAGATGCATCTTATCATATAAATCTAAACCGTCATACATCAGTTAATATATGTAGGTGAAAGATCGTGGAACCCACCATTATAAGGATTCTTATGAAAAACAAAAGGAATACTGATATATCCAGCTCCTTTAGTTAGAGATGTAGGTCCAATAAAACAAATTATGAAAATACCTTTACCGAAGAGTAAAAGTTAGTTTAAAAATGTAGTGGCAAAGTAAAAAATATTCCAAAAGGTAAAATGAGAGTAATACAGTAGAACCTCTATAAACTAATAATCGATAAATTAATAATCTCTCTAAATTAATAAATTTTGTCGGTCCCAACTTGGGCCGGTTCAAAATTTGACACAAATCGATAAAATAATAAGATAATAATTTTTTAGAAAGTTCCATATAAATATATGGTCCGATTAAAATTATAAATTAATAATTTATATTTATACATATTTTATATAAGTAAAAACCTATTAGTATATTGTTTGTTTTATATTTACAATGAAATTATCTTTATATTTTCTTGACATTTAATATATTGTAGATGAGATTTAGTAATATTATATCTAAAATCATATTTAAATTTTATGAAATAAATATTATATACACCAAATAATATAAGAAATCTAATATAAATGTCAAATTTCAAAAATGATAATAAATATCTATACACTAAAACAAAATATTTTTCTTATTTTAGAATAAATATATCTTAAAATCAAAATTCTAAATAAGGAAACTTTGGTAAATTAATATCTCTATAAATTAATAAANATATTTAAATTTTATGAAATAAATATTATATACACCAAATAATATAAGAAATCTAATATAAATGTCAAATTTCAAAAATGATAATAAATATCTATACACTAAAACAAAATATTTTTCTTATTTTAGAATAAATATATCTTAAAATCAAAATTCTAAATAAGGAAACTTTGGTAAATTAATATCTCTATAAATTAATAAATTTCAAAGTCCCAATATTATTAGTTTATAGAGGTTTAACTGTAGTTAGTAACGATCTTATTTTAATAATATGGACATTGAGTGAGCTCAAAGGTGGATATTTTAATAATAAATGTATATGGTCACTAATATAATAAAAAAATAATCATTGGAAAACTTTCATAATGTTATATTACTCTGAGAAAACAAATTCTACAAATATTTTGACTAAATAGAGAATTTAAAAAAATTACGGTCAAGTATTTTCTTATATTTGTTTAGGTATCTTATATATTAACGCATATGTTATAACTTATTTTATGTATATAAATATCACAAATACCCATATATTTTATGGATATTCGGAAAACTGAATGTTCGTATATTTGCAAAGCAAATCAAAACAAAAAGAATTAGATATCCGTAATATACGATGCTCTCAGAGCATCCGCAACGGGAGTTCTTAAGAAAAAAATAATTAAATAATCAGTAGACCCCACAAAAATTAAGGATTTGATCCTTAAAATTCTTAAATAAGGACTGTTTCTTAGCGAATCCTTACACTATTTGCGGGTCCCCAGGACACGTGACAATCCGCGAATGGTCATCTTTTCTTTAAAAAAAACCGAAATATCCTTACTAAATCCGAAATACCCTTTTTCTTAAGGACTCTTATGAGTCTCACGGTTGCGGATGCTCTTGAACATTCGCAACGGGAGTCCTTAGGGTGAGTCCTTAAGAAACAAATAATTAAATAATCAGTAGACCCCACAAAAAGTAAAGGATTCGATCCTTAAAATACCTAAATAAGGACTGTTTCTTAGTGAATCCTTACACTATTTGCGGATCCCCAGAACACATGGCAGCCCGCGAATGGTCATCTTTTTTTCTCTTTTTAAAAAAAAAAAAAAATCCGAAATATCCTTACCAAATCCGAAATACCCTTTTTCTTAAGCGAGTCTCACGGTTGTGGATGCTTTTAGGGTTATTGTCAATAAGTTATTGGGATTGTTTGTCAATCAATCTCTCAAGTATTAAATATCATATACTCAAAATGAAATTAGAAGAATTTCTTAATTATCTCTAAGATTGTCTTCTTCAACTTTATTACAATATGTTATAAAATAATTTATTTATTTCTTTATTTTAAGATTTATCATCAAAAATTAAGAAGTGACAATTGTTTGATATTGTCATTTAATTGATTGACCTTATTTAATTTTCAATTTTTTTATTTCAGTCAAATTCTTAATTCAAACTGGATTTGGTTTAAATTTTTAAGTATAAGTATTTTCTCTCGCTTTAGGTACAAAGTTAAAAAAAAAAATTCACTTATGTGCCATGATTATTAAAATACAAATATTTTCAATATTTATGTGGGTAAACAAATTCTAAATTCCGAAATAAATCTCACACATATACAAAAATAATCCTAAAATATAAAACAATTTATTATTTTTTATGTCCTTTGTAAAATTAAGACATTAAAGAAAAGCTGTGCTTATTAAATATAAATACTAATCAAAACTTTTATGGAAAAATGAATTCTTAATTTCTAAAGAAATCTCACACAACATATGCAAAAAATCATAAAACTATAAAATGAATTATTATTTTTCTCTATTAATTGTTATAAGATATCTGTAATGATTCAAGACCAAAACACACAAAGTGAAAATTTATAGAAAAAAATTATTTTCTCTCGCTTTAGGTACAAAGTTAAAAAAAATTCACTTATGTGCCATGATTATTAAAATACAAATATTTTTTAATATTTATGTGGGTAAACAAATTCTAAATTCTGAAATAAATCTCACACATAATACAAAAATAATCCTAAAATATAAAACAATTTATTATTTTTATGTCCTTTGTAAAATTTAAACATCAAAGAAAATCTGTACTTATTAAATGTAAATACTAATCAAAACTTTTATGGAAAAATGAATTCTTTTTTTTTCTAAAGAAATCTCACACAACATATGCAAAAAATCATAAAACTATAAAATATATTATTATTTTTATATTTTATAGATATTAAAACATCAAATAAAAGTCTTGCAACCCATATCTAGGTTTCTATAAATTTTCACTTTGTGTGTATTGGTCTTGAATCATTACAGATATCTTATAACAATTAATAGAGAAAAACACAAAGAAAAATAATGGAGAGAACTGATATCTCAGAACTTCCTGAAGATATACTGAAAGAAACTATGGTACGTGTGCCTCTTGAATCTTTGGTTGATCAATGCATCTGTGTCTGCAAGAAATGGAGATCAACAATCCGTGGAGAAGAATTCAAAAAGCTTTACTGGGCCCAATCCATTACAAGACCTCGCTTGCTCTTCGACTACATTCGGACGTTCGCCGAACAGTCAGATTATTTGTTTCAGTCTGTTTATCAACAAGAGGAAACGTTGTTGTCGTCTGCTCTAAAACAGATGATTATCTCTTCAGCACGAGAGTATAAAATGTTTTGTGCACCCCAACGAGGTTTGGTCTGTCTTGAATATGAAACAAAGTTTGTGCTATGCAACCCGGCCACCAACAAGTTTAAGGCTTTACCGGAATGCAAGAGGCTTCGACCAGAAAGAGAGTCGAAAATAATTTGTTTCTTCGGATACGATGAAGTTACAAAAGTATTCACATTTTTAATCTCGAAAACTGATTATCGTTTTACACGTAAATATTCGCATAAGCCATTAATGCCACATCAAGTTTTCACGGTTGAGCTAGCCGAGCTCGAGAATATCAAAGAAAAAACTTGGAGAGTGATCAAATGTGAGCATAATCATTTCCCAGTTACTAAATCACTATGTCTGAAGGGAGTTTTATACTATGGAACTAAGTCCCTTGTGGAGATGGATAAATCTATGATAATAAGCTTCGACATGAGGTCTGAGGTGTTCACGATTATAGACATGCCTAAAGGAGTAAAACTTGCGGACTTTGATGATAGATTGGTGAACTATAACGGGGAAGTTTGCTTAGTGAAAGACTCAAGGGATGTGATGGAGGACGGCACTAGAGTGTATGAGATTTATGTTAAAGATGAAAATGCAATAATAAAATGGAGGGAAGAGCCGGTTGTGATTCCTAGTTATATTAAAAGAGAAGTCATGACTCACTTCATGTGTGATATTTTAAAATGGATCATCTACTAAAATTTATCACATAACATTATTAAGTCATTAATTAATAACTTTAAAATTAGTACCTATAATTTTGGGCTTCCCAAATTTTTTTATTGGGCTAATAACAATTGGATAACCCATTGAATTTATAAATAGTAAAATAAACACATGTTTAAATTAAACAGATATATAATTTATTGTTATAAAGTATACCTTCATAACTTAATTATTTATATATTTGTCGATGTTAACTTTCAAAATCATATAGTTTATTTTTTTAAATAACAAAAATCACCATTTTCTAACAATGATTAATCTATACTACCTTAGACCAATGAAAATATTTTTTAAGTTATATAGTTCAAAATCTAGTTTTGCAAAAAATGCAATATGAACCGAAGGTTGACCAGCCTTTTCAAACTCAACAGGCTGCCACATAACATTGGCTGAGCAGCTGTGGTTCATGAACCTGCTAACATTACCACTCCATTTTGAACTGACCAAGATTTCCGACCGAAGTTTATAAACTGCAGGGACTTGGTCCCAACAGTCTTCGCCCAAACGTTCAGGTTCGTCGTTCCACCTAAAATTCTTGTAAACTCGAGAGGAATCAAAGACATACTCATCCTCCTCCTCCACTTCATCTCTTCTCTTAACTATTCCAACCAACTCGCAGATAAAAGTCCCGGCTCGTATCAGCTCTCATGAACATAACCCTCAATCGCATCTCTCCGTCCTAAACACTTCCAACCGGATTTTCAAACCAGTTGAGTTAGCCTGTTCTTGCAATCCGGAGGACAAAAACACATGTCGCCACATTCGTAAATCATTGGTTTACGACATATTAAAATACGGTTATCATATGGTAACTTGCTGCTGTTTCTTTGAACACAAGGACACGTTGGATCTTCACATGTCTGACCTTGATCACAAGTGTTGCACCCACTAGCTTGATAGTCCATAGCGTCCATCATACTTACACTTGTCGAAGAGGCAATGTAAGCGAAGTCTAGGGGCCAGTCCTTGTCGTTCTCATCGATCTCATTAATGACCGGAACTGGTAACGTCTCAATTCCAAGAGAAACATCTCCAAATACAAAACCCTTTCTTGAATCATTAGCTGAACCACACTTCCTCCCTTCTTCAGCTATCTTCCAAGTCGCATAACCAGAAGGCTGGTCTTGCTTCCTCACCAGTATAAACTTGAATTCATCATAGCCTTTGGTTCCTCTCTCTTTGCAATAATCAGATACCAGATAGAGACCATCCAAGATATATATTTTCTTCTTGCTATCGCTCGGATCTTCTACACCTCTAATCACTCTAACTTCATTTCCTTTTTTTACTATTCGCGTCAACCGGACGGTATCCTCTTTTAAGCTCTTGATGTTTAGGTTTATTATCCTTATCCTTTCCTCCTTGCCCGGTATATATCAAAGTTTCAAGGTCCCCCGTTTTATCGTTGTAGTGTCCTGATGTTACTACACTTGTTGCTAAGCCTTCTGTTGAACCGTCTTCTGCCATTGGATAGTCGATACCGCCGACCATATGGTTGTGTAGACCAACTAAACACATCTCTCCCCAGTAGTAGAATATATCTCCTACTTGTACTCCTGGAACCGGACCGATTCTCTTCTTATTGTTAGTCCTGACACCAAGATTGTTTAAGCTACTGAAGGCGGTTGTAAGGATGGCTTTGGCACAGTTTACTTGGAGTAATCGACGCCTAACGGCGTCAAACCGCATCAGAACTGAATCCACCAGATCCTGATTCCCGTTTTCTTTCTCTTCTTCGGTTATCATCGAGTCGAAACCCGGACAAAATGTTACGGTTTTGTCCTCGGGATCATATGTTTTCTGCTTGTTCATAGGAGGATTTTCGGTCTTGGAACCCTTTGGTCGGCCTGGTCCTCTTTTAAGAGGACGGCTAGTCGGATCAACATCATCAGCCAAAGAGTCGTTGTTGTTGGAGTAATCATATGGTACAATAGCTAGATGATTTGTGTCCAGTACTAGAGGATGAGGGGATACTGATGTGTTGTGAGTTTCATCATTGTGACAAGATACAACCACTTCGTTGTTGGGATGACCCGTTTCCTTCTTCTTCTTGGACGTCTTTGAATTCCTTGANCTTGAACCCTTAGGTCGGCCTCGTCCTTTTTTGCTTGGACCAATGTTGGATTCATCAGATGGTAAAACGAAACGAAGCGGTATGGGAATTATAAGTTGAGAGGGTATTGTTGGTGTGTTATAGGTTTCATCATTAGCGGGTTAAAGAGGTGAGGCTAGAGGAAATGGAGGTGTTGTTATGTAATGGGTCTCATCATCTATGGTTTGAAGTGGTGCAAAAACTTGAGAAGTTGGTGATGAGATGTTCTCGGTTTGGTTGTTTTCATTGTTGGCAAAGCTCGGTCTCAAATAGCTAAGTGGTGTAGCTTCGATTAGAGTAAACTTATCCATTGCAAAAGTAAGTCCTACATTAAAAAAAATATAATGATCAAAAGTTCATAATCATTAAATAAGCATGAGATAGAATAAGTAATAGTAAATGCACATGAGAAATTACGTATACGTAAACAAGATCATCAATGGGAAATGTAAAAAAAAATACAAGAGAGAAGGATTAATGATAATTTAAAAAGTACATGACATGACGAGTTGTTTTTTGAATTGATAGCTTGAGAAAAAATTCTATGGCTATCTTCATACAAGAACTATCATATAAAAATCAACTAATAAGTAGTGTTATAATTTTATGTATATATAATTATTAGTGTTTTGAAGTCAATCGTAAATCATAACTAAGATTAAATAACCATTAAATCTCCTTTTTATGAAAACAAATAGCACTAGATACATAAAATCATAACACATATATCAATTTTACTTGGTTCAAAAAAAGCAGCAAATGTATTTTCTGATTAAAGTGCAATCTCAATAAACTTTTTTTTTTTAAAATTTTTTTTTTTAAATATTGTTTTTCTTATTTTTTCCGTATTTTTTTTTTATTTTTGTCATTATTTTTCTTATTTTCTTTCAATCTCAAAAATTCATGAATAAAAGACTGGAAATGATAATTAGCCTCTAACTGAAAAACCAGAACAAGTAGATCTTATCTTCAGAATATTTAAACCGCATCTATTATATTAAAAGAGAAGTCATGACTCACTTCATGTGTGATATTTTAAAATGGATCATCTACTAAAATTTATCACATAACATTATTAAGTCATTAATTAATAACTTTAAAATTAGTACCTATAATTTTGGGCTTCCCAAATTTTTTTATTGGGCTAATAACAATTGGATAACCCATTGAATTTATAAATAGTAAAATAAACACATGTTTAAATTAATTAGATATATAATTTATTGTTATAAAGTATACCTTCATAACTTAATTATTTATATATTTGTCGATGTTAACTTTCAAAATCATATAGTTTATTTTTTTAAATAACAAAAATCACCATTTTCTAACAATGATTAATCTATACTACCTTAAACCAATGAAAATATTTTTTTTAAGTTATATAGTTCAAAATCTAGTTTTTTCTTAATAACACACATAAAATATACATTTATTGGTTTAACTTAAACATGAATTGGATTTATTATGATAGAAATCTAACTGATAATGAAATAACATAAGCACATAAATTTTTATTATTAAGGATTAAAAGGAAATATAAGACCAATATAATCAAAACAACAATTTATTTTTTGGGTCCAAATGTTATTCAAAGCAACAACATAAAAGAAAAAAAAGAATACAGCAACAATAACAATAAAATGTTCAGCATCATTCAAAGGAACCACAACACTTTTCTGAGCCACATAAACAAACTCTTTTACCTATAAAAATCTTGCTTCCATCTTCATCAACCTCTCCAGTATCAAAAGACATCCCATAATCATACCTTAACTCTGTCAGTGGAGGTATATGCTTCTTTGCAAAAAATGCAATATGAACCGAAGGTTGACCAGCCTTTTCAAACTCAACAGGCTGCCACATAACTTTGGCTGAGCAGCTGTGGTTCATGAACCTGCTAACATTACCACTCCATTTTGAACTGACCAAGATTTCCGACCGAAATTTATAAACTTCAGGGACTTGGTCCCAACAGTCTCCGCCCACAAGTTCAGGTTCGTAGTTCAACCTAAAATTCTTGTAAACTCGAGAGGAATCAAAGACATACTCAGCCTCCTCCTCCACTTCATCTCTTCTCTTAACTATCCCAACCAACTCGCAGATAAAAGTCCCGGCTCATATCGGCTCCCATGAACGTAACCCCCAACCGCATCTCCCCGTCCTAAACACTTCCAACCGGATTTTCAAACCAGTTTGAGTTAGCCCGTTCTTGCAATCTGGAGCCCAAAAACACATGTCGCCACATTCATAAATCATTGGTTTACGACATATTAAAATGCGGTTATCATATTGTAACTTGCTGCTGTTTCTTTGAACACAAGGACACATTGGATCTTCACATGTCTGACCTTGATCACAAGTGTTGCACCCACTAGCTTGATAGTCCATAGCGTCCATCATACTTAAACTTGTCGAAGAGGCAATGTAAGCGAAGTCTATGGGCCATTCCTTGTCGTTCTCATCGATCTCATTAATGATCGGAACTGGTAACCTCTCAATTCCAAGAGAAACATCTCCAAATACAAAACCCTTTCTTGAATCATTACCTGAACCACACTTCCTCCATTCTTCAGCTAACTCCCAAGTCGCATAACCAGAAGGCTGGTCTTGCTTCCTCACCAGTCTAAACTTGAATTTATCATAGCCTTTGGTTCCTCTCTCTTTCCAATAATCAGATACCAGATAGAGACCATCATAGATATATATTTTCTTCTTGCTATCGCTCGGATCTTCTACACCTCTAATCACTCTAACTTCATTTCCTTTTTTTTACTAGTCGCGTCCATCGCACGGTTTCCTCTTTTAAGCTCTTG